CAACTCGCTTAATCAGTTCTAGGAATTTTTTAATATTAAAAACCCACGTAGACCAAAGATCAAGTAAACAAGCTGACAAAGCGCTTGTATCACCGACATTTTTACTCATAAATCTTTAAATAAAGTTACGCTTAAAATAATATGAATTTTAATGGGAAGGGAAATATTGAGTAGTAAGAGAAGGATGTAATACATATTTTCATTATTACGGCACGTGTTTGCGACCTAAATAGAATAATAATTATAAGTAATTGTGATATTGTAATAATGTAAGATTAATTTGTTGGTTTAATATTGTAAAAAAATATTACAACGAGATAGACATGAAAATAAAAATTAAACACTGACGGACATGTCATTCAAAATGTTGCTTGAAATCTTTTCTTGGAATTTAAATGGCGAAGATTTGTTTTAAAAAGATTAATCAGCAATACTCGAAGAATTTCTCTTTCTAATGCTTAATCTTTCCGACTTAATCTTTTACAAGTAAAGAAAGCGATTTACTTTCACCACAGAAATTTTTAAAATTCTCCAAAAACAAAAAAAAGCATGAGCCAGCACATGAATCGAAGCACATTCCTCATCATCAGTTCCGCATAAATCTTTATTTTTTGTTACAAATAAAATGAAGAAATATTGTGACATAATAATCTCATCAACCCCTCGTCTGATGATTTAGTGCTATTTCTTCATTGTGCAGTAACAACAATTCACGAATCAATTTATCATCCTTCAATCGAGTGGCCCTTTTGGTCTTGATATGATTTTTTTTTGTTTTGTGCGAGATTGTTTGCAAGATGTGTTGAGTATGGTTTGCAGTTTGGATGTGGATGGTCTGTTTTAAATTAAGGTTTCGGTATGCATGGCAATTAGTTCCTCAAAAACTTTGAGAATTTGAATGTATTTTACTCGAATTCAAACTTCAGGAGTAATCTAGTGCAGATGACCCAAGATACCTCATATTACTTAAATAAAAATACTCATATAAATGAAGACAAAAAGCTTCAAATTCAAAAATGCGCTGTAGTCACCAATTTAAAAACATTCTTTACTTCCTCACATTTGTTTCCCATCTTCAATGTATTAGTTTTCCTGCTAAAGTTTAAGTTCAATCTGTCAATAAAAACGAAAAATCATGCAGTGACCTCATCAAGCATCAACATCACTGATGTCAATCATCGTCATTAAAAATCATTGTGATTTTTTTAAAATAATGACACGGAAATCGGAAAGACCATGAATTTAAATCGATAATGATGAACATCATTGTTGCTGTTACTAACCCGCTTATTTGCATTTGTTTGGTATTCTTCAAACCAAATGTAGACCACAGAAATTAAATAAAAAATATATAAACCTTTGTGTTGCTTTCACTTTTTTCCGCTTATTTAATAATAAAAAAATAAATTTCTCACTGGAATATTAATTTACAAAATAAATATCAAAGCTGCAAAATATAAATAAAGTTGTGGACTCGATTTCATGAACAGAGAGAAAATACTTTTTTTTTCATCTCCACATTTTCATTTCTTCTTCTTTTCACTTTTCTGATCTAATTTACAAAATGTTGTTATTTATTGACATTTGCATGCGGATACTTATCTTTATGTTGCCTTGCCGTCGAAAAAAAAATGCAATTAGATAAAATAGAACTGGTTTAAAATGGGGCTGAGATGGGGAGGTGTTTAATGCGCATTTTTTGAAATTAAGTTCAACTAAAACTTAGTATCTGCAATCAGTAATCAAAATCGATTTTTTGTTTTTTAATGGAATTTATCCAGCACAAGAATGCGGGACCATTTCCATGATTTATCTTTTTAAGTCATCAATCTTTCTAGTTCAGCGTCTAGTTGATTGTTTCTGGGTTTTTCAATTAGATGACCAAATATTGAGACTTTTAAGCACTTATATCGACTATGTTCAGAATATATTCAAAAAAGAACTAATGCCATTGAACTATAAATTTTTAGTTTATTGTTGGGATTTGAACCTTTGATTGGTGTTTTATTGTTGAAGCACTATCGATGACTATTAAACTTTTGAGCCAATTTGTTTCGTTAATAGCAAAAGGCAGAAAAGCTATTGAGACTTTAAATTGAACAATATTCTGGTACTATTATCAATAATCATTTCTAATGACGAAACCGACGTCCATCAACATTTGTATCCTCTAATTCAGCCAGACAAATCAAATCCGAATCCAATTCCAATTTTGCTTCAACATTTTCCTTCCAAAGCGATTTAAAAAAGAAAATTAAATGAAATTTATATTTATTTATCATGTAATGTCTATTTAATCTCATCTACATAGCAAAAGAAATATTTCATATGCGATGAAATTCTCTTTTTCCTTCTTTTATTTATGCCTCCTCACTCGTCAAAAGGTAATGGATTCAATAAACAACAAATTTAATTTGTGTGCGAACAAATTAATTTAAAGAGATTTAATTTTTCATGTGAAATTATGTGATGAAATAAAATCGTGTAGAGAATATTTTTTTTTTTTGAAATTTACGTGATGGGAATTTTTTTAAGGAAAATTAATTTTGTGTACGTAATTTTAAAATTAATGGATGAGGTTTTGGATTTTATTGCTAGTTTTTTATGGGGCTAAGTTGTTAAAAGAATGAATTATTTGGTCATATTTGGTGTTTAGTGAAGTTAATTATAAAAATATGGGATATTGTAACGAAGTTGATGACTAGGCGCCTAAAATTATTACATTATCGCTGTCATAACGATGTTCATCATTTAAGAGGTTCGGTAAATGTGTGATTTCATGTCTAGGAGGTTTGATTCACAAGCTTATTTTTTGAATGACTTCGTAACAATCAGTTAAAGGTTTTAGCTTAAGCCTAGTGGTGTTCAACCGTTTTTGTGCCAAGTCACACTTATTGGTAAGATAGATGATTGTAGAATCACTCAAACTTTGACTAGATAAATAAATACCAACAACTAAACTCTGCATTACAGCTAGTGCTCCACTCCTAATGTATCAAAACTTAAAAATTAAAATCCAAACATTCCAATCTCTAAAGATCTTATTTGCAGTTCGGGTTGCTGGATAACATGATTTTGTAAAATTTACAACACCACAACTATTGCGACATGAATGTGAATAATATTATTTAAAATTTACAAGAATTAATTCACAACCTGCATGAAATCCATGATAAATTCTTGATCTTAGTCATTTTTTTGCAGAACTAATGTATTTTTCTAGGTCATAGACGTGACATAAATGGGTAAATAAATTGTTAATAGGGAAATTCTTTTTAAGGCATTAATTTTGCGACTTTTTTATTTTTTGAATATCGGGAAATTATTTTGAATTACGTCAACTTTAATTAAAACAATTAATACTGAAAAATTATACTTGAAATGTGCACATAAAAAAATTTAAATGATTAAAATTAAGCAACATAGTAGGGAATTTTCTGGGCTTGCCGTAAGAAGACATTCCCCATTAAAATAAGACAAAAAAAATATATAAAAATAATCAGCACACCACAGATAAATGCTACAATAAATTACAAGATTCAAACTAAATCAAAATGTATTAAAATTCACCTCACGTGGACGTTTTGATTAATAAAAAAATTTACAAATTTTTTCGAAAGTGAAAAAAAAATCTGCATGAGAAAATTTGCATAACACATTCAAGTGATTTTCATAATATTCGACCTTCGGGCGGAATTCTGCATTTTAATATTGTCTAATAAATAACAGTGAAAAAATAATAATAATAATTTTTATTTCCATTTTTCTATTCAATATGAATTTTTTCCTCATATTATTATCGCACCTTGAGCAACTCTCTTTTATGACTTAGTTTTATTGCAATCAACGCTAAAAGTAATAAGTATCTGTCAATGATAAAATTGTAAAAAAAAATCGATGAAATTAGTTTTTAAAACTTCAAAACTTTCTTTTCCGGGAATCTAAAGGTCTTGAGTCATCATTGGAATGTCGAAGTTGGCAATAATGTCATTTTTATAAGAAAGTTACTCAATTTATTGTTTTTATCGAGAAACTAAGCAATAACCTTTCAATTTTGATTATTTTTTGCTTCGATTTCACTATAAGTTTAATTTTCCTGTATAACGGATTTTCGAGATTTAAAATTTCATTCGTAAAGATTTACACAATATTTTTCCTTGTGCACAATATTTTTCCGACACATTAGGGGCCCTTCACTTATTACGTTACGCAAAAAACGACTTTTTCACCCCCCCCCCCCCCCCTTCCCCCCTTGTTACAATATGTAGCAACTCTCAACCCCCTTCCCCCCCGAACGTTCATAATTTATTTTATCATTAAAAAGGTAGAAAATTTAAAAAATTGTTTTTGGATGTGAATTTATAAACAAATTTTTTTCGTGAACTTTTTTTTTAAAGACAAGCGACAGTTAGAACGTTACATACTTCTTGACCCCCCCCCATGTATGTTACATTTTGTTACAATTTATGTAAACTTTGATCGCAAATATCTCAAAAACGGCATCAAACGGCATGTCTCCAGTTATATGGAAGATAGATTTAAGCTTAATTAATTGATTTATATAGGTTTCAGAGAGGTCTTTGGAAGACTTTTAAACTTATGAATAGTTTAAGTTGTGTAAAAATACTCAGATTTCAATTCATTTTTAAGGCTTAATAAGCAGATTTCTATTGAGTTGGTTGTTTTAATATGTAAAGCTAAGCTTAAATTAGCTAGCAACTGCTTCCAAGACATCCAAATAACAACTTAAAGTAGAAAAAATCATATTTTTTTTCATACACAAATTTAAACCATTGTAAACAAATTTCGTGTGAGATTAAATTAATGATTTCTGGAGTTAGACATCAAATTGGGACGAGATATTTTCATAGGATATGCCTCAAGTTCAGATCTTAAATCTGGCATTTAAAAGACATAGTTTAATTTACATGAAATTTTTGAATTTTTGAACATTTTTTTCGATTCTGAATCATTGTGGATTTATAAATCGTAGTTACATTCGCCTGTTGTTTTCATTTCTATGCCGAAAAATTAATATTTTATTCAAAGTTTGTATTTATTTAAATTTACTGATTATTGTGTCCTAAAACTGATTTGCTTATTATGATATTCAAACATTCAAGCTACAAACTATCAAAGGTAAGCTTTATTCAATATTTCATCAATTTTTTAAAAAGTTCTTCAAATTAAACAAGAAAATTCACATTAAATGTTAAAAGTCTATCAAAAATCAACATACAACCTCAAACATCCATCCAACTTAAAGCAATTCCTCATTAACATGACAGACTTGTAAAAAAATATGCATGTATCTTTATCTCTCAACATTTAATCGTCCCATAACATCGTACACAACTTTTTTCTCTGTTTCTTTATCTCCACCTTGTAGATAATTTACAAGCTATTTGTTAAAGTAATTTGCTAATTAAGAGTTTGCATCAATTGCATTTTCCCTCCTCAACTTATTCTTCACGGTAATTTATTCTTTCCTTTGTTCTTTATCGACCTTTTCTTGCACTTATCGTGCATATGTATTTGAGGATAGTAGACTCGACAGCATATGCATATATAAACTGATCGTATCAAGACATAATCAACAATATCATCATCATCAAATAGTTTTTTTTTGTTCATTATTGCACTTTAATTGAAAATAAGATAGAGCATTGAATGTGTAGGAACAGAACTTTTTAATGTTAGTACTTTATTGAGTATCGAGGTAGGTCCTTAAGATAAGGCAGTTTGACTTTGCTAAATTAATATCATGTCATGTTCCTAGTTTTGCTTCTGGAACTTAAAATTATGGTTTCGTTGGGCTGTAGATTTGAATAATATAAAGATCGAACTTTACAGCCTCAGAGAAATTTGCTAGATTAAGACACTTATCCACAAAGTTAATTAAAAAAATATTCCAAAAATTTGTAATCTACTTAAAAAATACTCTTCCTTACTTCACATCCCTACCGATTGATAATCACCATTTTAAATAATGAAGAAAAAAAACTGTTGAGTTGTTAATTAAAAAATTCTTTCAGGAATTAAAAGGCAAAAAGTAGTGAATATGTGGAATGAGAAGAAAAAATTGTAAAATTTAATGTACGATCGTGATGAGACACAGGAACAGGTGTTTATAAAATAAAAATGTTCATCTCTAGCCAAGTGATATAGACTTGTATTTATTTATGAATATGTGACTGGAAGATTGAAATTTAAGATGAAAAATATGGAATATTTTTATATTGAGTATCAGGCGCGTAGCCAGGGTGATTTAGGATTCTTTTATTAGCATAACCTAGCAAATCCCTTTATCGAGGGAGAACGAGTTTCACAAAAACTTCCGATTACCTACCAGTTGAGCGTTCTTTTATCACGGAATTCTTGAAACATTTTTTTTTTTTCTTTAACGGATGTGAAAAGGGAAAATGATATTCGTGATAAAAATAGCGAGAATCTGGAATTTTTGTAGATTTTGTAGCTATTGTGGACAGTAACTTGTAACATAAATTGACAAATATTTTACATTTATTAGGTATTAATTCACTAGTCATTGACTGTTAAAAGAACTAGTTTTGAAAGGGAAAATCTGTTTGAAGTTTTTGATTATTATAAATTCAGCTTCTTCCAGTTTTTGAGGTTATTTTCATGTGACGTGATAGTTTTTGTAAAGGTAATTGATCATTCACTCGGTAGTATCCACACGCGCCTTGATCAACTTATTAGAAGTAAATTCCCCATCCAATCTTCAAAATTCCCAATAAAACTAGTAAGCATCAAAATTTCCATGAACTTAAAGTCTTCAAACTCCAAATAAGCAATCTAAAGCCATCGTCGCTGATGTAATTCAGACCAAAACAACCACGATCTAAAGATTTTGCTACACAAATGTCAAAAACATCTAAATCCTCAACCCAAAATGTGACTGACATTTAATCTTTTCCTTTTAGTAAGGTTTAAGCTCTAAAAATATCTGGCAAAAATTTTCCATTCCAAATAATCATATTTTTGTGTAGGTTTTTTTTATTAAAAACAAATTTTCCTTAAATTATTTTTAGAACTGGAGAAAAGTCAGAAAACAAACAAATAAGTTCCAAAATTAATTTTTTGTTGGTTGCTATTTTCATCTTCTGAAATTTTGTTCAAGCTTGTACAAGCTGAAATGGAAAAATATAGTAATCTGTTTTAATTATGATCTCGATTTGTTGAAACTTTCGACATTATTTTAAATGTTTTGTTACTTAATATTTTTGTGTATTGAATAGTGTTAAGGGTATTGATTGCAGAGGTGGGTTTCTGAAGGCATCCGAATTTTATAGAATGTATCTTTTATGAGCCAAAAGCAGCTTTTGGCTCATTACGACTGAAGCTGAAGATCTTCAACTCGAACGTCAAGCCTGTACTTCTTTACGCATGCGAGACTTGGAAATTCACAAAAGCTCTTGCACAGCGCATCCAAGTTTTCGTTAACAAGTGTCTGAGAGCAATATGTGTCAAAACTAGGATAAATCTTCAAAATTGTGATAAGACGTTTTGAATTAAGTCATTGCTAAAAAAAATCAAGTTTCTTTAATCTTTAATCTTAATAATCCATTCAAGAAAAAAACACCCCAAACCTGTAGCTTGTGACACATTCTCCTAAGAAAACATTATCTCGTAATAATTTTCTCATCTTAAATCTCACGACAAACATAATTCAAGCTTGTCTGTTGAGCCATCAACAACTTCATCCATTCGCTCAAACAACTCTGGTACAAAACGATCTACATTACTTTATTTACCTTCATAAACCGTAAATAAAACAACACAGCACACACAAAAAAAAATGTTCTTCTCGAAAGTGAAACATGTGTTTGCAATGTGTTTTTATGGAATAAACAAAATTTAGTGTGAAATTTTGAGAGAACAAGGCAAGGAAAAAAATTCACAAGCAATTTGTTGTTGTTATTGTTCAATGAGAAAGCTTTGTGAGGAATGGGAAAAAATAAAACTTTTTTTTGCTTCTCATTCTCAAATTTTTTTTCACTTTCAAACCATTCTTCTTGCTTATTGTAAATATTCGTCTTATTCTTGGTGTTATTCTGTGGCCGTGAGCTGAAAGAAGTTAAATTAAACTCAATTTATTTCCATTTTTTATGTGTTAAAGAATTTTTTTCGTGTGTAATTTTTTTTGGAGAGTGAAATTTTCTTTTAACTTTGGATTAAATGCATGTAATATAATTTTTTAAGGATGTCTAGATCTAATTGAAAAAGTTTAAAGATTTTAGGAAGGTAATGAACACTTAATAATAGCAATGAATTGTCTTAGAGTTAAAAGCAATTGGAATAAGTTCTGTTCTGATTGAAATATGAAATGTTAAGGATTTGAACCTTTGCTTCAATATAACGAATAACCAATTTCCAGAGGGCGAAGCCGAGTGAAGTTTAGTCGACTATAGTCGACTAAAACCGACTAAAACTCAGTCGGCTTTAGTCGACTAAAGAATTAACGGTTTTTTCCTTAGTCGGCTATAGTCGACTAAAACCGGCTAAAGTCGACTAAAGCCGCGACTAAGATCGACTAAAGAAGGATTTTTTGGCTTGTGAAGTATAAAAATTTCATACAAAAATTCTCTTATTTTTGTCATTCAGGTTCGAATCTCAAAATATTTTTTGACTTTTTTAAATTTCTCAGCATGTTAAAAATATTGTGCTTTACATCGTAGATACCTAAAAAATCTTAATTAAATTACTGCTAAAGACGCTTAATTTTTTCGAAATTTATCTAAGCATGACATTGAAACATTTTTTTGTGTTTAACCGTGTTCATATCTATTTTGATATCTTATTTGACAAAACTCATTGCAACATAGCCATAGGTAGTTTAATTACCAAAATTTATTTTTAATGGTACAAATTTGAATTTTTTTTTTTTTTTTTGAATTGCAAAATTTTAAAACATCACATTATGCACCCAAAACACTCTTAATGCAGAACTGTAGAAGTTTTAACTGTTTTTAAAAATACAATTGACGATTCAAAATGACTTAAGTTACATTAAAGCATTAAATTGCATCATAATTTAACCAAACATTTTTTTTTGAATATTTACGAGAAATCTAATCAAATTTTTAACGGCTTATGATCATTCAAACGTTCTAAAACGTATTCATAGTTTAACAAGGATGGATGATTTGCCTTTGTTGTATCGTTTAGCAAGAGTTTTATTTGCTATTCAACCTATGAGTACTGAGGCGGAACGTAATTTCTCAATATCAAACTCATTAATGACTCAAAAAAGAGCATCCTTAAATCCTGAACGAGCTCATAGAATATTATTTCTGCACCATAATATAGAGTACCTATTAGAATCCTTGAACAAGAATGATTAATTCATACTTAGATTATGAGATTAATCTACTAATAATGACTTAATAATATGTTTTTGTTATCCTGGCTATATCTTAAGTCCTTAATATAGAATGTTATTTCATTCGTATTTTAAAAGGACACTTTTTATGACATTTTTATTTTTTATTTTTCTTATAATACTCCATAAATGAATAAAACTAATATTTTGAATGAGTACTTAAAATATACTTTTACAACTTTAATCTTTTTAATTTAATAATATTTGATTTAAACAATTTTAATAATACAAATTGAATGTTTAAAAAAGTCAAAAAATATTTTGAGATTCGAACCTGAATGACGAAAATAAGAGAATTTTTGTATGAAATTTTTATACTTCACAAGCCACTATGGGGCAAAATGAAAAAAAAAGGGACTTTCACTTTGAAAAATGGACTTTTCCGATTTACACTTTTTGGGTGATTTTTTCTTGTAGAGGACATAAAAGTAGATAGAAATGCCAAATTTCAGGTCATTTGGTGCTGATTTCGCGATTCTAGAGCTGTTTGAAGTTGAAAACTAGTGAAAATTCTGGTTTTTTCATACCATGTTTGAACCGGGAAATATCTTAACTGGTTTAAGATATTGCAAAACGGTTTTCAGTTCCTATTAGTAGTATATAAGAGCTTTATTTTGACATATAACAAAGTTTAGGTTCTGAATGTTTTCGTGCCATTATGGTAGAACATATGTGAAAATTTCAGGAAAATTATCTTCAAACAAGCCGCAACTATCATAAATGAAGAGTTTCCAGG